AAGGTTTAGGATGGACACTCCGTAAGTGATTAAGTCTTTTTGGAGATTTGGTAAGGGCATGTTTAGAGCGCACAGAGGGAAAAAAGCCTACATTGTTCTTTCTTAGAGAATTTCGTAGGTCTAACCCTGGAAGTTGCTGGGCTGTACAAACAGGAAAAGCAGATGATGAGCCAAGGCATGGGAGGTCAGAGGTAGGGGAGCCATCTCCAGGCCTATTAACATACTGCTGGGGGTGGCCTTGGGGCAAGTAGTTAACTTTCTCTAACTCCTCAGTTTTCCCTTTTTTTTTTTTTTTGTCCAAATTTTTTTTTTTTTGGTGTAGGGAAAATCAAAGACAGGGGAAATGTATAGGCATGGAACACAGCACAGGTGTTCTGATTATGCAGCACAAATGTTCAATAACTATTAAATTAATTAAATATCAAAATTAGGGTACATAGGATTACCTAGGCGCCCCTAGGGTACGTTGTAAGGTATCTTTTGCTTTGGAATCGATGGAATAAATTAGACATTTTTTTCTTTGTGCCTCTCCAGGACTAATTAAGCACAGCTCTGGCCTTATAAAAACCCAATATTAAGCCAGATACAAAGGAGAAATTGCAGGCCAGGCGCAGTGGCTCATACCTGTAATCCCAGCACTTTGGAAGGCTGAGGCGGGTGGATCATCTGAGGTCAGGAGTTCGAGACCAGCCTGGCCAACACGGCAAAACCCCATCTCTACTAAAAATATAAAAATTAGCTGGACATGGTGGCGTGTACCTGTAGTCCCAGCTACTCAGGAGGCTGAGGCAAGAGAATCGCTTGAACCTGGGAGGCAGAGGTTGCAGTGAGCCGAGATCAACTGCTGCTATTTTTTAATGCCAGGGGTCTCAGGTCCCACGGAGGGTTTATTCATGAGTGGCCCATTACAATTTCCACTCCTGCTGAAACGTCCTTTCCCTTCCACCAGAATAAGCTCACTTTCTAGGACATGCAATCTGTAGCAGTCACAATATATATTTTCCAAAACCTGAAAGAGGATAAATGGATGATTTCTCAAATGCCCTGAAGCAAAATTAAAAACTCTGAGCTGTCATAAAATCAGAGTTAGATGACACTCCTAAGTGATTAAGTCTTTGAGATTTGTAGGGCATTTTTAAACACAGAGGGAAAAAAGCCTACATTTCTTTCTAGAATTTGTAGTCTAACCCTGGAAGTGCTGGGCTACAAAACAGAAAAGCAGAGGGAGGGAACAGAGTAGAAAAAGACAGACACTAG